CCGAGTTCCGTTTGTAAAATAAAGTTTGCTGGAGTGTTTTTGTAAATGTGGCTGATAAGCACAACAACTGGAAAGGCTTTTCCCCCCTTTTTGGTAAACCACAGAATTGCCTTCCTCCACCTTCACATTTGTACGGTACACGCAATAAAAGATTTTATTTCTTGGTTATGTGGGGGTCTTTTTTTAACCTTTATTAAAATACTTCACAATTTTAAAGCAACACCCAAGCTCCTGTTCAGTTGATTATCTACAAATTCAATCCCAGGTAGCCTTGGTCATTGGAGGAAGGCCCCGTGCCCCCCTTTCACAAGGAAGAGCTTTTTCCCCAGGGGATTTCAGCAAAGCCCCCCCCCCTCTTCCTTCAAATCTTCCCAATTTAAGCCCCCTCCTTTAAACGGGGGGCTATTCCAGCGCCACTCAATAGCCACCCAGCTGCCAAGGAAGAGGCGCCCACCATCCTCCCTCCACCCTTTGAGCCGCAGGCAACGGCCCCCCCCTGCCCCACCTCTCGGAATTGGCCTCCAGGAATTGCGTTCTCGGTGTAACTTTCCCTCCTGTTCTGCCATCGGTTCTGAAAAGTGACCTGAAATCACATCCTGCAAAAGTCTATTCTACGTTACTGTGGAACGTCCGAATGTCCCTCTGCTCCGCTCATTGGTGGCTCCTGCTAATGAGCCCTAATTTAGCCAAGCTGGGAACCCTCTGGCGCTCTCCGCTCCCTCCCTCCCTCCCTCCCTCCTCGTGGGCGTTGGGGCAAAGGCCATGGCGGGCCCTGAGGGGAGGCCCTGGACGCTGCTGCTGCTGCAAAGAGCCGTTCTCTCGGTAGGGGCCTCGTTTGTGGGGCAGACTGTAAGCCGAGTAAGTGAGTCCCCTGGGCTGTTGGGGGTCGGGCAGCAGAGGGAGGGGGGGGTCATTGGTGTCCTCTCACTAAGGGAGGGCCTGTGGCCGTGAGTTTTCAACAAAGCTGCCCACTGCCAGTTCTGGCAATCAAGGAGCCCTTCTTTGGACCCTCCCTTGCAAACAGTAACTCCACTCTAGCTCCTCTGTCTGAGCTGCAAAGAAACCCCCTGCTCACCTGGGTCCCTCAAAGGGGGGGGGGGAGCAGAGGCAGCCCCTCAGTCACTTGGGAGCAAGGACTCCCCAGCCCACTCCCAGCCCCTCTGGAGATGCCAATGGAAAGCCTGCCGGCTGCGGAGGCTGCACCCAGGAGGAAGGCTGTGTGCTCCTTTAAATGACCCCCCCCTCCTTCAGCAATGCTGCTGCTGCTCTGTTTCAGGTGGAGGAGAAAAGGGAGCCTTTGAAAAGCAAGAGCAATGAAGGGCGGAGCACCGAAAAAGCCTCTGGGAAGGTGAGCCACTCCTGGCCCTCCAGAGGGGAGCTGTGGGGAGGGAGGGAGGGAGGGAGGGAGGACAGGCCGAAGCTTCAGAGCTGGACATTATTAGGGTGCTCTCAGGAATCAATCCTGGGGGAACTCAACCCAAGACTGGGGCCGCAGGGGGGGCCCTGGCAAGAATCCAGCTGGCCAAGGAAGGGAAGATGGCCAGCACACCTTTAATGCCTCCTCCTCCTCCTCCTCCCCCCCCCCTGTGGGGCTGCCTAGGAGGCATCTCCCAGCCTCTTTGCACCTGGGCTCCTGTGACAGTGTGGGAGGAGGAAATCCCCAAATCCTGCCCCCCCCCCCAGACTTGAAGCTGCCAGATTGCCAGGGGGGGGTTGGGTGAAATAGGAGCACCAGAAACTCTGCCCAGGGAAGGTTAGGGTGGCTCTTGTCAACCGTTAGGTTGCATCCATTAGATTGGCAAGGGGGGAGCTCGGTGGGTGGGCTCCCCTGGTGGGCTGAAGGCCGGAGTCCTGCCCTTGAAGAGCATTGGACCCAGCAGGAGGCAACCCGGAGCCCTCCAGGCTCTGGGGTGGAGGGCAGCAGCTCACGGGCAAAGGGTGGGGGGAGGGGGAGCGGCCGCTTGGGCTTTGGCAGGTAGCTTTGCCCACCTGGTCCCGGCCTGGCCCTCCTCCTGGCTGCCCCATTCCTCTCCTCTTCCAGAAAAAAGGCCTGGAAAGCTATGAGAAAGAGGCCGAGAAGCGGGGCTGCCCCCAAGCCCTGCCTGAAGCTCCTTTGCCAAGAGAGCGAGGTGAGGAAGGGCAGCGAAGGGACTCCCTCTTCGGGGAGTGGGGGTAATCCTACACGTGCACCAGGCTTGGCCTCGAGCTGACATCCCCTCATCGAGAGGCAGCCCTGCTGACCTCCCAGCTTCCCCCCTCTCCCCCAGTGGTCCCAGCCTCGCTGGCCCTTGCGCACGAGCTGTCCCAAGCGATGCTGCGGATGGACATGGCTCTGGAGAGGGAGTACGCCTTCGACATCTTCAGCAACTTGATGGTGAGCACTGGCAGCGGAGCCCCACCCCACGACCTTTGGCAACACCCGGCCTGGATGCCCACGGCGTTGTGCTTCCAGAATAACCTTTGCTGGGGAAGCAGGCGAAGGCGGGAGAGCCGGCTTGCGTCATTCCCTGTGGAATCCAATTAAGGCATCCCGGATGGTGCTTCATCCTCTGGAATGGAGGAAGATGCTGCCAGCAGCCTTGGTGACAGGAAGACAGAGACTGACCCCTTGGCTTGGCCCAGGTTTCCTCTGACGGCCTCTCTGCCTAGCCGAGGGAGCCTAAATCTCCACCCTTTGGGGGGTTGCTGGCCACCTATGGCCGCTTGCTGTGTGTGCTAGTAGATGCCCTGGCCGGGGAACATGGGGCTGCCGAGGGAGAAGAGCAGAACCCTGCCTGCCCCTCAGCTCCACTCCAGGGAGCGTCCCTCTGCTCCATTCTCTTGCCCTGCTCTGCCCAATGGGCACGCTGTGCCAGGGGCCAGGCCCTGCCCAACCCTTGGCTCTGACTGGTTCACAGCGGAAGCAGCCCTCGTATGCGCTCCAGGGCTTTGACCTGCCGCGGTCGGTGACGGTGGAGATGCGAGCCCTTCTGGTGGACTGGCTGGTACAAGTGCATGTAAGTTCTGGGCTTGGGGTGGCCTGATTCGTTGGGTCTAGAAGTGGGGGGGGGAATTCCCCCTTACTTCTGCTCCTTTCCCCCCAGGAGTATCTGAATCTGGCTGATGAGACCCTTCACCTGGCCGTCCACCTCATGAACTGCTACATGAGAGCAGGCCGGGTCAGGATCCCTCGCCTGCAGCTCCTCAGCGCCACCTGCCTCTTTCTGGCGTGCAAACTGGAGGAGCACACCTGCCCAGAGGTGAGAGTGCCACAGCTGGATTCGGGCGTGTCCATCGCCCTTCCAGAGGGCGACTCGCTTGCTTAGCCCAGCAGCCCCTCTTGGTCCTTGGCCTTTGAGGCTGGTAGAGGAGGGCATCTGGGCCACTCTGGCAGGCCCTGCCCCCTTCTGGCTTAAGGCTGCTCTCTCCTTCCCTGCAGCCAGCCCAGCTGTGCGTCATGATGGAGAACTCCTGCAGCCGAAAGGACCTCCTGCAAATGGAACGCAAAATCCTGGCCCGACTCAGGTTTGAGCTGCACTACGCCAATCCCATCCACTTGTTCCGCCTCCTGGCAGAAGTGGACCATTGCACCTTGGAGGTAAAGGTCTCCAAGTGAGCCTCCGGGGCCCAGAACCAGCTGCAGCATCACCAGTTGCTGTTCCCAAGCGGTCCCTGGGTCAAAGCCCCTGGGATGTACGTGTGCGGAACTGGAGACCCCCCCCACTCCCCAGTGGTTTAGTCCTGGAATTGGGGGGGGGGGAGGCAGCAAGCATCCTTTTCTCCCTCTTTCCCCCCCTGCCTGCTCAGGTGCAGTTCTTGGCCCTCTATTTCCTGGAAGCCTCTCTGATGGGGGTGGACTGCCTGCGCTTTGAGCCCGCACAGCTGTCCTTTGCGGCTTTGTCTCTGGCCCACCGGCTGTGGCGGGAAGCCAGAATCCAAGACCTGGATGCGCTTCAGGAATATTTTCCAAAGTTCCACCTGTACAGGTATGATGAGCAACGAACGCAGGTGATGTCAATGGGAAATAGCGGAGGTGGAAATAACTTGGGGTCTCTCCCTCGTTTCCCAAGCACAACCTCTTGGATGTGAGACCGCGTGTTCCTTCATGTGCCAGAGGGCATGGGAACTGCGGGTGTGGCCACTGCCCCTATTCTTGCATGGCACCAGATGTCTCATGCCCCACGGGGCCCCCCAGTTACATCTGTGCAGCTGTGCCCCATTCAGGACATTCTGGAAGTCAGCTGCAGCCCAGCGAGATGGGGCCCTGGCTGCCCCCCGCAACCGCAGGGACTGGGGCATTTGAACAGTAACCGATCAAGGATGGGTTCGATCGGTAAGGGCCCTCCAACCGCTCCTCTTTCCTCACAGCGAGGCCGAGCTGTTGGCTGTCTTCCCGTACATGGCCAAGGCGGTTTTGCAAGGGGCCAATGCCTCCCTTCGAGCCATCTTCCTGAAATACTCCAGGCCACAGAAGCTTTGTGTCAGCACCAGCCCTACCGTCGCGGCTTCTAAGCTCCTGAGCCGCTTCCTGGGGGACCCCAACCAATGAAGGAGGAGGATGCCAGGGTGACGCTTGAGCTGTCCCTTCACTGCCTGTGGAAATGGGGAGTGCAGAAAGCCAAGCATTGTCCCAGGCGTGGCTCTAGGCTCAGGTGGGCGTGGGACCCCTTCTCTCCTTTTCTTCCTTCGTGGCTCATAAAGTTTTCTCACTTCATCTTGGTCCGTTTGTCTGTCTATCCCACGCCCTCTCTGCGGCCCTGAGTCTTGCACAATTCCGCTCCCCCCAATGACTAAAAAATAAAAAAAGAGATTGTATGCAAAGAGACTTCATATGTCTAATAAAGTGTTTTATTCTCTTGAAAACACTTTTGCTTCTGAGGGCAGAAAAATGGGACGCTTCTCCCTCCCATGGAGCTGGCAGGACCCAGAAGACAGAGCTGCAGTGTGGGGCCCAGGCTTCTCAGGTCGCAGAGGGGCTGGGGGGGGGGGGGGCTGCTGCTGTGGCCGCTGGCTGACTGTGCCAGAGGGAACCCCAGGCTTTGAATTCTCCCGCTCCAATGACATTCCAAGCAGCTTACAAGCCATTTCGACATTCATACGGAGCCATGAGCCTTCCGTTGCTGCAAGCTGTTGCTAATACATCCCCGTTGACTGGCTCCTCACAACGCCTCTCAGGCTTTCGCCTAGCCTTAGCCAGCTGTCTGACCACGCAGCTCCCTTCAAACTGTAGGAAAGCCGAGCTAGGAGTCCACTTGGAAATCGCTGGAGACACTTTTCAACATCGAACTGGCCACGGAGGCAGGCAAGAGGCGCTAGTCCGCCCACCCATTGGGACCTTGCCTGGAGCCGCCTCTCCCGGTTTAGTCCCGAGCCGTGCCGGGTCAGGCTGCTGGCGCTGAGGCGGGAGGAGTTTCCCACAATGCACTAGCGCGCTGTCCGCGGTGCTGAAGCGGCGCTCGTGCCTCTGTCCGCATCCCTCCCTCTACTCCCAGCCTCTCTACCAGCTCTCCGTCCGGCGGAAGCAGGCGTTAGGCGAGGCATGGATTTTGGCCAGTGAAGGCGGGGATGGAGGAGCGCAGCCCGTACCAGAAGAGCTGCCCGGAGGCCGGCGGGACCTCCTTAGTGCCGGGGACGGGCGGAGGGGCCTGCCGGGCCGGCTGCGCCGCGGCTGCGGAATTGGAGGCCAAGCTCCAGCGGGCGGTGGAATTCAAGGCGGAGGGGCATCGCTGCTACAAGCAGAAGAAGCTCCGCGAAGCCATCGGCAAGTACCACCGAGCCCTGCTGCAGCTGAAGGGACTGGAACCGCCGGCCGCCGAGGGGGGCGGCGAGGCGGCTGCTGCGAAGGGCAGCTCGCTGGTCGCCTGGCGTCACCTGTCCGCCGAGCAGCGGGAGCAGGCGGACAATACGGAGATGGAGTGCTACGACAGCCTGACTGGTAAGAGTCCGCCCCCGCCGCCGAGGGGGGAGGGAGGAGGAAGCCGCGTAGCCCTGGCCTCAGGCCGGGAACAGAGTGACCCGACCCCGCCCGCCCAGCCGGAGAGAGCCCTTCGGAGTCGGAGGCGGCTCCCAGCGTTGTGGAAGGGGCCTCAGTTGCCTGCCGACGCCCAGGGAAGCGCTGATTGGAGCCAACTGGAATTCTGCAAAGCTTGAAAAGGTGCCACCGCACTTCATGTTGCCATTTGGTCACTGAATGCCAATGAAACCTGCATTTCTCCGGTTGCTTCCCCCCCTTAATGTCCTCAGCTATTCCTTTCAATGGAGCCACGCCGTTCCCTGTACCTTTAAGAAGCCCCTTGCGTGATGGGCCGAGGCCGCCCCATTGGTCCAAAACAACGCTTTGCTTGACCCGCCCGCCTCACAGCTGCGCCCCAAGGAGCCGGGCGACGGCTCCCGGCCCGTCCTGGTTGTGGACCGGACCGGCGTCCTTGCCTTGACACTAGAGGTGCGGGACGGAGGTCCTCCCCAGCGGCTGGCAGCTCCTGAGGTCTCCTCTGGGTCCTCCGTGTCACGTGGTTCTGCCACGACGAGCCCTTCTAGGAACGAAACGGGGGCTCGAGCTGCCCTCCCGGCTGCATTCTCGGTGTGCAGAACGGAAGCGTTCAGCTGGGCCATTTCAGGCCGGATTTGTAGCCTGAAATGAACGTCGAGAACTTTGGTTTTGTCTCATAGACCCCCCCCGCCCCCAGTTTAGCCCCAAAGAGCTAATCTTGGAAGACAGGGGAAGCCGTCCGAGAGTCTCGAGAGGGAGCAGACCCCTCCCCCAATTTGCTGCAGCCTGACGCACCCATTGGCCCCGGGCTGGATCGAGCGCAGCGCCCCACCCCCACCCCCCGGGCGGCTCAGTCTTGCCAAACCGCCCCCACCGCCGGTGAAAGCAGGGAAGGAGATGTGGGGTGTCTCGGTGCCCTCCGCTTTCTCCCCGCAGCCTGCCTCCTGCAGTCGGAGCTGGTGAACTACGAGCGAGTCCGCGAATATTGCCTGAAGGTGCTGGCCAAGGAGAAGGGCAATTTCAAAGCCACGTACCGCGCGGGCATCGCCTTCTACCACCTGGGCGACTGCGACAAGGCCCTGCTCTACCTGAAGGAGGCCAAGTGCCGCCAGCCCACAGGTGGGTTTCTGGACGGGCCCGGGCAAGAAGGGGGGCGAGGCCGCGCGCCACGTCGGGGGGAAGCGGGAGGGGGGCACTTCCCCGCCGGCCGCCTTTCCCGCTCACGGCCCCTCCCCCCCAGACACCAACGTCCTCCGCTACATCCAGCTGACGGAAATGAAGATCAGCCGCTGCCACCAGCGCGAAAAGGAGGTGACCGCGTAGGACAGAGCTGCGCCGCCCTCCTCCGGCCCGGGCCTCGATCGAAGCCTCAGCTGCGTCCAAGATCGGGGAATCCGCGATGCCCTCCAGAGACAGCTTGACCCAGAGCGACCCCCCCACATCCCCACCCGGACTGCGGGCGGGAGAATGTAGGTTTTTTCCTGCCAAACACCTCTGGGGCGCCGAGTCCTTTCTTGGGGTGGGGAAAGACACAGAGCGGAGGGGACGGTCGTAAAGGGGACCTTCGACAGGCTCCAAGGAGGGGCTTCTGAAGAGGCTCTGGTGCCTTTCACGGCTCCCGTCCTGGGGTTTTTTTATCGGAAGTAGGAGAAGGGTGAGAGCGAAGGGAGCAGGCAGAGGGCTTTGGAGCTACGGTCATCACACACACACACACACACACACACCACACACACACACACCCAATGGGTAAACACAGCGTTCTCTTGGCCAGGTGGATCCCACTCCGCCGCCGCCCAGCAGCAGGGATTTCTAGAGGGGGGAGGGAGGGAGGGGGGAAAAGTGCCCCTGCTGCTTCCTTCTTCCTCACATTCAGCATCTCACCTGGCAGGAAAACGCTTGTCTTGTTGCCCCCCTCCCCCCTTCTGCTCTGGCTGTTCAATTGCTCTGGTAGCCCTTGGAGGGGAGGGGAGATTTGTCCTGCTTGGCTGGTCCCCCTCCCATCTGCAGCCCATTCCTCTCCCTGGCCTAAAACCCAGGCTCTGGTTCTGGTTGGTGCCATGAGACGATCAGCCTCTCAAAATCCCTTGGGATCCTGACTACCTAAGTAAACGGCTTCTCTGGCAACCCTGGGGGAGGAGCCCTGGGGGCTGGCTGGGGGGGGGGAAATGGGGTGCAGCTTCCTTGGGCCAGGGCCACACAGAGGACAGCAATGCTAACTGGGAGAAGGGCTATCGATGCTCCCCCTTGCTCCTTTCTTGGGCTACCTTCACCCCCACTTGCAAGTCCTAGCCAAAGGCCCAATTCTGACTGCCGCCTGCAGCTGAAGCCCCGGCCGGGGTTAGGCATTGAGGAGAGGCAGCCAGTCTTCCTCTGGGTGGGGGTGAAGGTAGAGCCCTTCTAGGCACCCGGAACTTGGGGAGTTGAGGGTGGCTCTGCAATGGGAGCCATTTGCCTCCGAGTAGCCTCCCGTCCCTCTGGGCAGGGCTACACTTGGCAGGGGGAGGCCTTCCCACAGAAGGCTGGCTAAGGGGGTATGCCCTGCTCCCCTCTCCGGAAGGTCCAGCCAGCTTCGGCTGTACCTCCTCTGTTGTAGGTCCTGGGGAAGCCCCTCTGATATAGGGGGGGGCTCTCTGCTCTGCACTTAGAAATCCAAACGCAGCTGACCAACATGGGGCAGAAAGCTTGAGGGAGGGCAGAAAGGGGAGGGCTAGGAGCTCCTCGATTGCCTGGGTGAGCCTAACCTGCAGGGCTGTTGGAGGCTGAAGCCTGGGGGATTTGCCCAAGTTGGGGGTGCTGGATGACCACTGTTTATCGCCTTGAGCTTCAGCCTGTGCAGGGGAGGAAAGCGTAGGCATGAGCATCCCAGGCATCCCTCCATCATGGAACGCCCCGTCACAGCGGCTTCGGTCTGCCACTGCCCACTCCCAGCCTCCCCAGCTGGGCTTCTGGGTGCCATCCGGGGAGCCACTGGCCCCATTCCTCTTCTCCCCACCGAATCTCTGACTGTGCTCGGCCTCCACACCCGCCCTTCCTTCCTGGACCGGCTCCTCCTCCTCGGGCCCAGCTGCTTTGGCCCCACGCCTGGTTTCTCTCCAAGGGGCTCACTGCAAAACCAGGGAAGGGGCTTTTGAGTGGAGGCCCTCGCCCCCCCCCCCCCGGCATCACCTTCCCCCGGGGCTTCAGGGAGTCCCAGCTCTACTGGATCCTCAGGGCATCGGCTGGAGGAACCTTTTGATCCATGGAACCCCCCCGTCCCCCAAAGTGGCCAGGCAACCTTTGCCAGACTCCCAGCATAACAAGGGGGCCCCTCTCTCCCAGGGTCTCTCCCACCTGCCCCTCGGAAACTTTTGCTCCACCCGACAGGCAGGTGTCTGCAGCGTTGGCCCTTCCCAGAGCAGATCCGGGTAGCTGTGGGGCTCGTGGCAAAGGGCCCGCAGGCGTGGGGTGAAGCTGGGGCTTCCTGGGGGCCCCCAGCCCTGTCTGCCAGTTGAGGCTGCGGGAGCCCCTGCACTGCCATCCTGTGCTCCAAGCCCAGACGGGCCGAGGGAGAAGCGACCCAGCAGCTGCCTCCGTCTGGCGCTTCCTGCCCGTCTCCCACCCAGGCTGGAGAGGCTGGTGACCCCATGACTCCCATCTCGCAGCCGGAAGCGCCCCTTCCGCCTCTTGATCCAGGGCTCCTCCTGGCCCAGCTGCAGGAGGCTCAGCTCCTGCTCCACTGGCACAGCTCCCCCTCCTGCGTCCGGTGCTCCTCCGCGGACCACAGCAGCTCCTCCTCTTCCCCACTCCTCAGCTCCTGGGGGCAAGGGGCACAGGGTAGTTGGGCAGCTTCCAGCCCTTCCCCGTGAAATCCCAGCTGCCCAACCTGAACTCCAGGGCTGGCCCAGCTGGGCTCCTCCCGGCCCAGGCAATGGGCATGGGGGAGGGGGGGTCACCTTTTCTTTGGGGCGCGTATCATGAGCCCCGCGGCCTCCATCTTCCAGTCCTGCTGCAGCGACTGGAAGGACCCCATGGGCATCCAGAAGAGGGACGACTGCTCTATGGCCGCCAGCTGCCCCAGGATGCTGCCAAAGTCTGACCGGACAGGGGGGCTCTGGGCGCCAACATTCTGCAGAGCAAAGCCGAGGGAAACGCCAGGCTTAATGTGTGAGGGCAGCCCCCGTGGAGGGCAGCGTGAATGATTTGGCCCAGTTTGGCCAGGTGGAAGGCATTTGTTTCAAGGGCAAAATGGACATTGGCCTCAGGGCTGGACAGGAGAGCAGCGGCTGGCGTAGGAGCAGGAGAAGGGGCCACGTCAGAGGAAGAGGGCTGCCCTGCCCTTCCCCTCTGCTGCTCGGTAGCGAGCGGGAGACCCTCCCAGGACTGGCAGTGCCTGGCCTCAGCCGGGAGCCTCTCTCTCGCCTTCCAGGAGGCGGGCAGAGGGTCCCGGTCGCGTGGATGGGATGGGCAGCATCAGCTTGCTCAGGGCCATGCTGCAGGCCACCGCAAGGGCGCCAATCTTGCGGTAGGGCACCTCGCCCGTGGGCAGCTCCCAGAGCAGCAGCACCCCAAAGCAGGGATGATGGAGGAGCAAATGGACGCAGCGGCAGGCAGAACCCTTTCTCCCCAGCTAGGAAACCGGATCGTCCCCCGTCTCACTGAGTGCTGCCGCCTGGGCTCCACCCATTCCTTTGGCAAAAGAGCACCTGGGCACCTGGCCCAGAGCCAGCTGTGCGGGCACCAGTGGCTCCTGGCCCTTGTGGCCCAAACCTCTGCTCCACCACTCCGTGCCAAGAGGCTGTGCAGAGGCTTCTCCCGAGAGGAGCCCCCCGGGCCCAGTTCTGCCCTGCTGGGGAAAAGGGGGCATCCTCCTGCCCTGCTCGGCCCCTGCCTCCCCCTCCCCCCGGTCACCTCGCTGCTCTGGGAAAGACAGAATGCTTGATGACCTCTGGCGCCATCCAGGCATAAGTGCCAGCTGCACTCATCTGAGTGCTTTTATGCCACTCGTGTGCCAGGCCAAAGTCGGTGATCTTGAGGGTGTGTTGGCTCAAGTCCGCGTGACCGATGCGTTCCAAGATCAGAACTGGGGGGACCGGGGGGGAGAGCCCCTCAGGCATCTGATGGGCGCCATTGCTGCCTTTTCAGCAGCCGTGGGGAGGGGGGGAGGGGCTGGGTTGGCTCTGCCCCCATGGTGGCTTAATCAGGAGCAAAGAAACTTTCCACAAAAGGGACACGTGTGGGGGGGGGGGGGGAGGGGTTTCCGGAGCAACCAGAAGACTGAGAGCTGTTTGACCTAGTGGTTAGGGAAAGCATGAGGCCATGAATTCAAGTGCTGCCTTCTCCACGAAAGCCGGCTGCGTGACCCCTCTCGGCCCACCTCCCTCACAGGGTGGTTATTGTGGGGAAAACAGGAGGAGGAAGAGGAGTTGAATGTGTCCACTGCCTGGAGCTATTTGTAAACAAAAATAATAATGAAGGTGGGGTATAAATAAATAAATGTAAATAAATAAATAATACACACATACTGGAGAGCGTCCAATCTATTCCAAGGCTGCATTTGAAACTTTGGTTGGCAAAACCCTGTGCCCACAAGGGCCTGGCAGAGTCACCGGAGGCCTTTCAAGGGGCCTGGCCCGGCTCCCTCTCGTCCTCCCCTCTCGGCACCCAGAGGGAGGACTGGAAGCGGGGCAGGACATGCGGTTGGACAAGGTGCTCTGAGCCAGAAGGGAGAAATGGCAGCAAATAGGGAGTAGCTGATTAACTGGCCAGGAATAAGTGCCAGCCGCCGTGCTTTGAGAGAAGGGAACTATTTTGCTGGCCTACTGGCAGCAACCGAATGCCACAGGCAGAGTAAGAGTGGAAGGGATCTTGGAGGTCTTCTAGTCCAACGCTCAAGGAGGAGACCTTATACCATTCTGGACAAACGGTGGTCCAATCTCTTCTTAAAAGCCTCCAGGGATGGAGCCCCACAACTCCTGCAGGAGAGTCACTGGGGGGTTCAAACCCCTGTGGGCCTGGGAATCGGTGGAGCTGCCTGCCTAGAAGGGAGAGAGTTTGGGAGGACCAAGGGGGGGGGGGGATAGGTAATACAACCTCACCCCCACCAGAGGCCTCCGTCCAGATGGCTTACCGTTGATGGACTTTAGATCCCGATGGACGACGGGAACCGGGGCTCCCTGGTGAAGGTACTTCATGCCCTGCGCAATCTGCCCAGTTGACCAGGATGCGAAGAGGGAGCTTCTTGCCCAAGCCTGGCTGAATGTCCCTCCGCAGGCATACTCCATCCCACGGCAGAGCTGGGGGGGCTCAGGCAAACCGCCTTCAGCGCAATGATGTTGCCACAGCATGGGAAAGAGCCAGGCCTCCTGGCACACTTGGTTCACTGTCCCGGTAAGCTCCTCCTCTGGGGGAGGAGCCTTCACTGCTACCTCTTCTCCCCCCTCGCTGACCTTGCCAAAGCCCCCCACACCGACGGTCTGTCCAGCTCCAGCTCCCGGGAGGGGATTTCCAAGGGGGAGGAGGGGACCTGGGCATACTTGGGGTCACTGGACAGGTAATTGCTGGGGAAGAGCCCCACCCTCTCCCGGAGTTTCCTGTCCACCAGCTCTCATCTCTGGAGTCCTTGGGCGGCACCTCCAGCAGGTCTCCCTGGTGCAGGCTCAGCTCCTCCTCCTCGCCTGCGGCCTCCTATTAGAAACGGCCGCCCAGAAGGGGTTGGGGGCCAGCTGGTGGGTCCTGGGGGACCACCGCAGTCCTCCCTCTCCCTGCAGCCTGGCTCCATGGAGGTTAGCAGCAACTCAAGCCAAGGCCCCGCTTCTCAGCCCTGCCTGGGGGCGGCCCAGGCTCTGGGGGCGCATCCTCCCAGCGGGGGGAGCGGGGCAACTCTTTGCCCGGGAATCTTCCGAAGGTCCAGGGAAAGGCGTCGCTCCCGGCGCTGCAAAGGAATCGGCTTCCTCCTCCGTTTGCCTCTTGCCCAGCCGAGGGCCTCCCCGTCCCGGTTGCAGAAGAAAGAGGCTTTACGTTTGCGCGGCGCCAACCCCCAAGCGAGGCCCGGAGAAGCGGCGCTCGCTCAGAACGGCGTGGCCGAACACGCGGAGGGCGCTCCCGAGACTGCCGGCGGGCTGTGGGACCTGCTCCCCCCACCTTCCCCGAGACAGACAAACGGGAGGGGGGGACCGGACGGCCAGGGGCAGCTGCCTGGGCGCGTGGGGGGGGGGGGACGCTGCCTCCCCC